TTGGACTTAGGCTTAGGTTCAATGACAACGCTTGTCACTTTCCTCTTGCCCTTGCTCTTGGAACGCTTCCTTTTGCTGGAACTCTTTCCAACAACTACCATTTCACTCTTTCTGTGGCTCTCAGCTTTCTTTTGGAATGACGCATTCAACTAATCAACTATCAAAGAATCGTCCATGTCCTCTAATTGCTTATGCAATTCCGAAGTCATGTTTCCAAGTATCAAGTTAGACTTGTCCAGATCATCTTCCACATGCTTCCAATAAGCATCAATGATCGATCTAGAAGCCGTGGTCAGAGGCTTATCCTTCATAAGGATAGATCGCATCGTCGACTTCGGTACACTACCGATCGACGTCATGTCCTACAGAAAAAGATAAAATAGAACGAAACGAAAACAATATACAGATTCTATCAATGATCTACTACCAGCTACTCCATCATCAATCAACGACAACTCATCAATGATTCACTACCAGCTAGTCCATCATCAATCAATGACAACATAGATGCATATACAAGCTATATTCCCATACAGAAAAATAACCCTATCATAAATTTCTACATGGGACTAAGATCCATATTTCACATAAGAATAAGTTGTTACACCTATCCCTACGTTATTTTAGGTAGACATCTAATGTCAATCACATCCAATGTGATTCTTAGATCTTTTATGAGACTATGATATCGAATATCATTGCATACTCGTCGTCTCATCTGTACCATTAAGTCTCAAGTCAAACCTGATGACTTAACCTAAAATGAACCATATTCAAGCTGTGGGAACCACGATTTCCCACCCTGCCTCACAAAGATAATCCGGCATGCTCAGCTTTGGCATGACCCGTGTTACGGACGATTGATGCCTTGACAGGCGCTCTAGTAATGGAAGGTACATGCTTAGCATTACATAAAAAGGGATTTTCGAAACCATTCTTAGATCAAGCATCCGCTATGAGAACCGGCATTTCTTCATCTTCTCTCACCAAGATAATACGGCACACCCAGCTTTGGCATGGCCCATGACACGTACGATCGAGACCTTGACAAGTGCTTTACTCGTAGAGCTCCTAGATCTAACCGGTTTCTGTGCAACGATTGTACATATCAATGATTAACCATTGTTCTTTGATCAGATGTATTACATAATCCGAATAGACCATCCATTCGATTATGTAATCCCAATCTCGAAGCTCCCACTCAATCAAGCATATCTAATATCTTGATTAAGTTACATGCATGCATTCACTATGGACCATCCATAAGAATAAATCATGTCTATTTGAGTCACAGTCAATCAGATTAAGCAACGATTGCACAATCAGACTTAGAAAACGAAAAAATTTGGAATTTGGACCTCGGACCGTCCGTTCCGGATGTAGAACAGACGTTCCAGGCTTGGCAGAACGAGCGCTCTCGACTTCAGAAGCCAGAACGGACGTTCTACTCCGAGACAAGCCGGAACGGATGGGCCGCCGCAGATCAAAACAGAGCAACCAGACTCTGATACCACTATTGGGTTTCCTGGGATCTCTAGAGCGAATCCTATTCCTAAGAGACCGATTCTAGGGTTTGCGCAGCGGATGTAAAACAAAAAATTATGAAACCCTAGAACCATGCTTCTTATGAATCGTAGACGAGTAAGAACGCTTACCTCAATCGATTCGGTGCCTGTATCAATTGAAGAACTCGTTCGATCATGAAAGGGAGGAAGAATACCTCATCCTCTACACGTATCCACGCCTCAGGATGGATTCCAGCGATTGGAACTTGTCTGCTAGGACCCGAATCTGCTATTCGGTATATCGCTTCGAGAAAATGAGACTTAGAACTCCTTGAACTCTTTGGATCTCACCAAAAGCTCTCAAAGTTCTGCCAAATATGGCTCAAAAAGTCTCACTCATTACTTAGGGTTTTAATCTCCTTCTTATAAGGTGATTTAACCCTAATTCGGTCTAATTTTTGAAAAACCCGAAAGCCGGAACAGACGGTCCAGAAATACACGTGGACCGTCCGTTCTAGCAAGCCAGAATGGACGGTCAGCATACGTGGATCGTCCATTCCAGACAAGCCAGAACGAACGGTCTACCTTCTGTGGACCGTCCGGGCCCGCCCTGGCAGACCGTCGGGTCTAGCCCTTTCGGTCCGTCTGTTCCAGCCCCTTCCGTCTCGGTTTTTCCATCGTTTTCTCGTGCGTTTTGTCCTTCCCTGCGTGTGTGACCCTGTAGGCTCATTCGATATAGCAGTATAATCCGAAATCTCTATTTCGTATATACAAGTCATAGGCGGTCTCTAGCAAGACACTATGACTACCTATCTCGAATAGAGTTTGTTCGTGATCTTACGAACACCAGTGATGATTCGTCTAGCCCTTTCGGTCCGTCTGTTCCAGCCCCTTCCGTCTCGGTTTTTCCATCGTTTTCTCGTGCGTTTTGTCCTTCCCTGCGTGTGTGACCCTGTAGGCTCATTCGATATAGCAGTATAATCCGAAATCTCTATTTCGTATATACAAGTCATAGGCGGTCTCTAGCAAGACACTATGACTACCTATCTCGAATAGAGTTTGTTCGTGATCTTACGAACACCAGTGATGATTCCGGCTGATGGTCCTTTTGTATCGCGATATCATATGTCAAACATAAGGCATGGACAAGCCACCTTATCTGATTCGACTGCTTTCTCGTTCACTGAGTTCGACTGTCTGAAATAGACGACGTTCGTCTATAGTGCGACCACACATTTCTACAATCTCGCTCACACGAGGGGCCCAACGATATCTCTCTCTTTTACGGGAGGTACAAATCCCGTCTTGACTATATACAATCCAGCACATGATTCGTTTCGTACCTGATACACGCCTTTATAGTCCTCCTGTTACGCAGGACATTTGACGTATTCAAAGCACGCAACTCCTCATGTTGGATTCCGTAGATATCTCAGGTCTTAGGATCCAATCATGGAACCGCCATATGAGATTCAAGTCATGACGCTAGTCCATGTGACAATCTCATGCGGATCAATCCAGTATTCCGTTCTCCAACGAATACCTATGATCGTGATCGTATCCAATACATATGATCATCTATATGATCATCAATCACACATCATACAAGTCTTAGTATATCATTATTCCCACAATGATACATGACTAGGGAGTTTAGTATTGTTCATAACAATACATGGATTACATAACATATAAAGTATGCACTATACGTAATGACGTAATGAAACAAACACTTATCCATAAACTCATAGAAAGTGTCAATACATCAAATGTATCTAAATAACACTACAAAAAAACAGTCTTTTAGCAGCGAAAATTTTTCGTTGCAAACTTACAAATTTCGTTGCAAAACAGTGTTTGCAACGAAATTGTAACGAAAAAATTTTCGTTGCTAACTCATCGTTGCAAACCAATATAGCGTTTCAACTCGTTGCAAATTGCAACGCTTTGCAACGAAATATTTTCGTTGTTATTTGCAACGCAATATTTTCGTTGCAAAGCGTTGCTAATATTTGCAACGTTTTTGTAATGGAAAAAATTCTTGCTAATTTAGCATCGCAATTTCGTTGTTATTTTTGCTACATAATTTCGTTGCTAAAAATAATATAAAAATTAAAAAACTATTAAAATTATGAATTTTAAAAATTATAAATAAATAATTATAAAAAGTAATAAATAAATAAATATAAATATTAAATAAAGATAATAAAAATATAGATCAAAATAATAAAATAAATATTTAATAAAAATAATAAAATATATTTTTATTTGATTTTTTTTTAAGAGTTGGGGATAGAGAGAGGTTTTAGATAATTTTTAAAGTGAGAAATTGTTGATGGATTGTGTTTGGATTGTGTTTGGATGTTGAATCAACGAAATTGCGTTGCAAATCCAATTAGCAACGAAATTACGTTGCAAATTTAAAATAAATTTGTGGCTGCGATTAATTATGGTTTTCACGCCTTTTGCAACGAATTTTCGTTGCTAATTGGATTTGCAACGCAATTTCGTTGTAAATTTGCAACGAAATTGCGTTGCAAAACCAAATAGCAACGAAATTGCGTTGCAAATTTATATATTTACTTTTTTACGGTCAAATCATATTAATTATTAAATAATAATTTTTGCAACGAAATTATTTCGTTGCAAAGCGTTGCAAAAGGAAATTCGTTGCTAATCGTTGTTGATTTCAAAGAAATAATTTTGCAACGATTTTGCAACGCTTTGCAACGCAAATATTGCGTTGCAAATTAGCAACGAAATTATTGCGTTGCAAAGCGTTGCTAATTGCAATAAAAAAAAATTGCAACGATTTTTGCAACGATTTTGCAACGCTTTAGCAACGAAAAATTTCGTTGCAAATTTGCAACGCAATTTTTCGTTGCTAAAGCGTTGCAAAATCGTTTTCATTAAAAAACATTGCAATTTCGTTGCTAACTTTGCAACGAAATGTATTTCGTTGCTAATGACATGTTTTTTTGTAGTGTAAAGCTCGCATAACAGTAAATCATAGAGCACTAAACCAACATAACTTAGTCGTTCTTGAATTGGGTAGCAATCGTTTCAACGGTTCTTTGCCAGAGAATATCTCGTCTTGCAGGAGGCTGAGAGACGTTAATCTTGGCCGAAATCCTTTCAGTGGTCAGCTTCCAGAGAGTTTCAAGAGCTTACAGAGTCTCTCTTATCTCTCGCTTTCAAACTGTAGCCTCGTTAACATCTATTATGCGCTTCAAATCCTTCAGCAGTGCAAGAACCTCACCACTTTGATACTCACATTGAGTTTCCATGCAGAGGCATTGCTTGATGACCCGAGTCTTCGTTTCGAGAAGTTGAAGGTCCTGGCCATTGCAATTTCCAGGCTTACTGGTTCATTTCCAAGTTGGTTGAGGAAGAGCACTGAACTGCAGCTGTTGGATCTCTCATTGAACTCTTTTACAGGGGAAATACCAAACTGGATTGGTGACTTTACCGATCTTTTCTACTTGAGCTTGTCAAACAACTCATTCGCTGGGGAAATCCCAAAAAGCCTGACCAGGTTGCCGAGCCTTATGTATAGAAACATCTCACTCGAGGAGCCATCCCCAGATTTCCCCTTATTCTTGAAAAGGGATGAAAGTGGACCAACTCTGCAGTACAATCGTGTTTTAAGGTTCCCACCAACGGTAATTCTCAGTCGCAACAATCTCATCGGGCACATATGGAAGGAGTTTGGGAATCTAAAGGAGCTCCATATCTTTGATCTGGGGATGAAAAGTTTATCCGGATCAATCCCGAGTTCCCTTTCCGGGATGACAAGCTTGGAGGTTCTTTATTTGTCCTACAACGACCTCTCCGGTTCAATCCCAAATTCTCTGGAGAAACTGACTCTTCTTTCGAAATTCAACGTGGCTCACAACAATCTCTCGGATCTGATCCCATCTGGTGGCCAGTTTCAGTCATTTTCGGATTCAAGTTTTGAGGGCAATAGTCTCTGCGACTCCCAACGGTTTCCATGTGGGTTAGATGATACAGCAGCAGACACAACATCAGTCGGAAGATTTAGAACCAAAGACATTGCTCTTGTAGGAGCTGCCATTGGATTCCCATTTGGTGTATGCTTCTATAACTTGTTCTTTTACAGGCGTTTTATCTTATAGGTTGGTCTCTGTTTAACGTCAAGTTGCTCATTCTGCAGTTACCTACCACCAAAGTTCATGTTCGGATTCATTCTGTCTTATTACTTTGCTTTGGCTGATTGAAAATGCCAATCTCCGCTTCATTGGTTTTGTATCCTCTTTTCAGAATATACAGAAAAGGGTCCTTTTCATTTTACAAATGGATACAGAATTGAAATGGATTGGACCAACCCATTCAAGATTTTGATGAAACCCGCAAAACTTTAGTATGCCTTGCAGACACAATCTCCTCCAAAGATGGGAAGTTGTAAGATCCTCGAGCTCTGTCTGCTTCAACCCATTTAGACCCAATAACCAATAATCACACATTTCTGACAAATATTTGTTTCAGAATGGAAATAGTGCACAACGTGGAAGCACAATGTCTGGAATGGCGCCATATATAGGGGTGAGCATTTTGGTTTTTCGAGTTTTTTTTAAAATTCGGTTCGATTCGGTTCGGTTTCGAGAAATTCGATTCTTCTAAAATTAATACCGTTCATAAATTTTGGACAGTTCGAATCGAGAAAAACACCGCATTTTTCGGTTCGGTCGCCCACCCCTAATAGGAACCATGACCAATTTGATTAATATCCTAGTATATTTGGTACAAAAACCGAATGGGTATAACTTTTCTAAAACAAAAAAAAAAGAATTCAAATTGAACCGATTCGAATCAAATAATAGCTTAATTCTTTTATTTAAAAATTGATATAATTTATCAATAAAAACCGAATCAAATCGAGTTTGATATAAAAACTGAATGGTTAGAGTGTCTATCTATAAAACCGATCACGGTTTGGAGCGATCTTTCCAAGATTCTTGCGGTTGTGAAGAAATTAGAACGATTGCCCGCTTTAGAAACAAAAAAAAAACGACATTTTCGGGTGTGTGGCAGTAGAAGATAAGTCGACTTTTCAGGTTGAAGAAGAAGGATAGCAAGAGAATATGAATAGACATGAGATATCCATTCATATTTTACCCTTTGGATCATTTTTGTTATTATTATTATTATTATTATTCATATTGGTTCAGAATGCATATTATTTTGCTAACAAGTGCAAATCATTCTTTGGTCTCTCATGTATTTTGATTGGATCTCTGCAACTCTTTTTTTCTCCAGACGTTTTCTTGATACATCTCTTCCGTCCGCAACGTTTCTGTTAGTAACAATGATTGAAGCAGAAGAAGAGACCCTTTCGTTTTTCCTCGGCCTTGGCTTTCGGGGTTTCACCGTCCCGTTTCGCCATCAGAGAGCTCGTCCCGGGAGAATCGGGCGGCAGAAGCGTGTTCTTCAATGCCAGAATCCGCAGAGGAATCGCGGGTTCGGGGGATGCAAACTTTGAGAGATAGTTGAGGAGTAACTGGATGATCTGAGTGAAGTTTGGCCGAGCATTTGGGTCCTCGTTCCAACAAGACGTCACGACGTTCGCCAAATCCTCTGGCAAGGTCTCAGCGCTCGGCCTCACGTTCTGCAGAAACAGCAAAAATACCTCCAAGTAAGAACTCTATAGAAGCATTTTAAACATTTTCACTTGTCATTCGATGCATTTAGATGTATCCAAGAACGAGATGGTAATCGGAAAAGAAGATACGATAGTTAGATTCTTGAAGAAACAAGACGAATCTTAGATAAGTCGGGTACTGTGAATGGCATATAGATACGGGTTTTCTATCTCCTGGACCTAAGAAAAGAGATTCATACCGGCTCCCTATCGAAACCATATCCTGAGATCTAAACTCGTTTTAGCGGATACCGAGAAAGAAAGAATATCCTTACGCACTTTGAATGCCGCTGCATAAGCTGCTTGAAGATTAGACATGCCTTCGAACGGCAATTTATTGTGTAAAAGCTCCCAAAGAACGATCGCAAAGCTATACGCATCGACCTTGTGGTTGTAATGCTTCTTCTCCCCCAGTCTCAACGTAACTGTACTGTACAACTGCTCAAGACATTTTCACGGAAGAACGAAAAAACGTCAGAAACGGTCAAAGCATCGGAAAAACAAAGGAAGAAAAAAAGTCGGGTCCGAGTAAAAAATCACCTCAGGCGCCATCCATCGGTAAGTTCCTGTCTCAGCGGTCATCATCTCGGTTAATGACTCTTCTCTGGCTAAACCAAAGTCCGCGAGTTTTACCGTCCTGTGATCTGCAGTTAAAAGCAAGTTCTCTGCACATGAAATGGAATAGAATCTTGTTAAGCCGAGGGTAAAAGTTTTCCTGGTGAAAGTTAATACAAATAAAAGTTTTTCTTGGCGAAAGTTCAACTTAAAGAAAGAGGTTCATACCATATCTAAACGCACTTTCTTGATCTAAACGCGTTTTCTTGGTGAAAGTTAAACTTAAGCTCGGTAACATTCGAGGGTAAAAGTTTACTTGGTGAGAGTTAAAACTTAAAGAAACAGAATTTCAGGCCCCAAATCTCAAGATCCTAAACAACACGACACAGTACTGTACGGTGTCCTTAACTACAGAGCACAGAGTATTTTAACAAGCTTGAAGCGTGTGTTCTGTCTTAAAGGAAAAAAAGAAAGAAAGATTCCCCGCATTGAGATCTGAGCATGTGCTTCCATGAATCGAGGTGTTTGCAGAGTTTTTTAAAAACATCATTGAATGAATCCATGAGAATAAAATAAAGGGTCTTAAGGGAAGGGGAGAGGAGGGGGAGGTCGATACCGGGTTTCAGATCACGGTGAATGATCCCATGGGAATGCAAACACTCCATTGCCCGAGCGATGTCGAGGGCAAAACCAATGGCTACACGAGTGTCCAAACAAGCAGGTCTCAGATTCAACAAGTATTTACGCAATGTACCACCGAGAAGAAGCTCAGTGACTATCACCATTACAGGCTCCTTGCAAGCACCCATGAACTGGTTCAGAACAGAAAGCCAATGAATCTTTCTTTTAAGCATAACCGTGTTAGAAGAGAAGCGGTAAGAATGTTTCGGAATCGGAAAGCAGACCTTCACCAGGTTCTTGTGCTGGACACGTGAGAGCATTGAGACCTCTCTTAGGAACCGTGACTCTCTCTTGGCGATCTCTTCGGGTGTTTCTCCTCTGTGAACTATCTTTATGGCAACTGTCTGGTCTTTGTATCTGTCTCAGGTTTTAACGAATTCGGTGAGCCTAAGAAACTGAATCAAGAAACTGAAAGATTGACAACAACTGATGCAAGAAAACACGGAAAGAAACCGATGAATTCGAAGATCTTCAGGTGGAACAAACTTATTGAATACCCAATTCTCCATGAAGGCAAATCCAAGAGATGTTTTTTCAGGAAACAAAGCATGATGTTCAAATCCACAGTTCCTGAATCTGTATATACATACCCTCAGAGAGGAATACATTTTGATTTCCTTGCACAAGTTTGCATTCCCAACTTAGAAAAAAAAGCATGAACTCCACAGGATTAGCAATTGGGCACACGAATCAAAATCCCCTTAACAAATGATACATTGAATGCTAATACCGAAGAACAGCAAGAACCCAGAAACGAAAATAAGCCGGACAAAGTAAAGCAACAAAATTTGACATGGTTGAACTCCAAACAAAGAGGAAAATCCAAGATTTCAACGCACCCATCTCAAGAGAAAAAAAAAGGGGGGTCAAAAATCGAAATTCACGGGCAAGTGAGAGATGCTTACTTTCCCTCGTAGACTTTGGCATGAGCTCCTTCTCCAATCTTTGGACCAACAAAGAGAAGCTGGGGATCGATTAGCCATTTGGGTTCTAATCTGAATCCATTCATAGAATCCATAACTCCTAAAACGGAAAGCAACCCAGCATTTATATAACCACCTTATCCAACACCAACCTCACATCAGAGGCACCAAAGCATGGCATTCTCAGGATCTACTTGAATATGTAAGAGAAAAGGACTCCCCTTTTTATTTTCTCTCCTTTAACACACCACAGATGGAAGAAAACACACACCCAAATGACGACTAATGGCTTACATGCCCTTAAGGAGGCAAAAGCAAGCTTCCTCACATGTCCTTAAATTAAGCAAAGATTCGAGAGAGGGAGAGAGAGAAGTGGTGACACCGGGCATCATCCCCAAGTTAAAGAAGCGAATATTTATATATGCAGAAAAAAAAAATTAGAGAAAATAGTTTATCTTGAGAACACAATGGATAAGAGAGAGGAATCCCGATAAAGAAGAGCAGAGGAAGAAAATCAGTAAGTGGGTGTCTGAGCACAGCACTTCAGAATCATGTTCTTGTAGAGAAGAGAGAGAGTAATAGCTTTGTATACAGTTTTTCCTCAAGTTTGGAGATTTGTTTTAAGTCTTGTGATGGTGGCAGAGCCTTTCTCTTGATCTGCAGACAGAGGCATGAGACTATAAAAAGAGAGAGAGAGAGAGAGAGAGAGAGAGAGAGAGAGAGAGAGAGAGAGAGAGATTTGTATATTTGTTGAGTGGGTGATTGAATAATGAGGCAATGATAAAAAAAAAAAAAAGAGATAAGGGGAAGAAGTAATTGATGGAAAGGGAGCACATGGAAACTGATCTTTTGTTTTCTTCAACTCTCAATGCCCTTCTCGAAAAAAACTAAGTAATTTAGTGGCAAAGGGATAGATTCTGTCTTCCTTACATTTTTCTATACTTTTAAGACGTAGTCAGTCACCATCTCTGAAATATAAAATTACAAAATTATATAATCCATGCCAAGTTTTGTTTAATTAAATTGATTGTGTTTATGTATCAAATTCGGTTCATACTGAAATTTGTGTGGTGGTGTAATGCTGTTATGCTGCGTTTCATAAATCTAAATCGGATTTAATCCGATTTACAAATCATTGGTCACAATTTTTTTTAAAAATAAATTAATGAAATTCAAAAAGTTTAAAAGATAAATGAAATAAACTTTTTAATGAAATCAATATGATTTTTTAAAAAAAAATAAAAACCAAATTTGGATCGAACCATATAAAACCCAAATAGATTTAATTATTACAAAACCTATAAAACTAAATCCAAAGATAAGTGAACCAATACCGGAACCTAAAATATCGATCCCAAGTTGTAACAATAATTTGATTACCAAAGAGAAGCGCAATAAATATATAACAAAAGAGGACTTTCGCAGTTGACTTGTGTAAGCACATAACAATACATTCATAGAATAGAATACCAATCTAAGCTGCGTTTACGGTTACAATTGGAATGATTTTGAACACTGACATAGATTTTGAATCCGTTATATAAACTAATATGAAACATATCTTAACATGTTTCGTGATTCCACATACAGCTTTATATAAAACGTAACATATACACAGAAACCACATGAATTGCATTCAAAACCAAGTCTTATATATATATATATATATATATATATATATATATATATATATAA